CACCTCCTCCCACTCGCCTTCCCCCCTCCCTCCCCCACTGCGCCACGTCTCCCTCTCCACCTTCCCCTCTCCTCTCCACCACCTCCACCACTACCGTTCCACTCCGCCTCTCCATCCACCTGCCGCTCCCTTCCGCTTTAGCCTCCTTCACAACCTCCGCCTCCACTACGGACAGGCGCTGCTCTATTAACAGAATAGTTTCAATTTACTCTACGAGTCCGTGGATTGAAAAAAGAATTTCAAAAGTGAAAAGTAGAATATATATTACTGTAGTAGGGAAAGGTCATAAAAAATACTCCAATCGCGTTTTAAATTAAATTTTTACAAAATTTCATGCTTAAATTCAGTTCTTTCCAGTTGTCCGACTTAGAACATCATGTTACACGCTGAACATCATGTATGAAAATAGAAACAAGTTATTATATACCGAATCCGTGGATTGCGAGAAGAATTTCAAAAGTGAAAAGTAAAGTAAATATTACGGTAGAAGTTAACTATAATAAAAATTACTCTAATCGCATTTTAAATTAATTTATTCATTTTTAATTTACCCTATTTCATGTATTTGATATTTTGCGGTTGACCGACTTAGAATATCAAGTTTTGCATACCCCTGCACTTAAATATTTTTAAAATTTATTTCACAATCTTAATTGTACGCTTTACGAACGGTGAACTTAAAGTGGATTACAAGAAATATCCACTATCCGATGTAATATATTTGTAGTATTAATAATTATATATCACTTACCAATATAAAATATTACTTTTATACCTTAATAAGTATTGGAAAATTGTATGTTAATGAAGAATGTAAAGTATGTCATCGATTATTAGAGAAAACATATCACCTGACCACTAGGTGCACAAATCTGGCAAACGCAGGAGATACTCCCCAGAATATCTACACTGGCTCAACCTGACTGCAAATATTTTACACTAAGCACTGGTGACCATATATGATGAGGATGGGTGGTAATCATACGGGTATATGCAGTAGCGTTTCTTGTCGTATTCTGATTGCAAAGAGAAATCTATAAAAAACAGAAACATTTTTGGACAAAGTGGGGAGAATTCTTGGTTGCACGGAAAATCAGAACATCAAAACATGAAATAGAGCACCTTGTTGCAATGGCAATAGATACAAACTCCTATAAACTATAATCAGTGGCCATCACCGATTTTGGTGTGAAGAAGAGGAAAAGGTGTGTAATCTAAAAAAGAGGGAAAATACAAACGTGATTTTACGAAACTCGCGAAAAAAAGTAGGTAGGACGAATTTAGTGGACTCATATGACTCCTTTATGATGTGTAGTACCACACCCTTTCCAGGTTTCATTCCTATTTAACAAATTCAAATTTGTATGTCTTAATTACTCTTACTACGTCAGTTATCGTAATATTGTTATGCCAAAAAATTGTTTGCATAAAATTTTGAAATTTTGGTAACCTATATGATCTGCTTTGTGGCACAAAACTTCTTTCTTTGTCAGCAGCATATTGTCAGCAACCAGTTCAATCCAATGCAATGCGTAAAATGAATTATCCCCACAGCATCAGAAATATCCCGCTCATAACCTCCATCGTATCACATCGTCATCTATTCCGCTATCACAGCAAGCGCAGAAATCACCAGTCATCTGCATTTCTAACACATCGTCAACCTCCACCCCGACCATAACCCACGCCATCAACTCACTAGCATGATCACAATTTCCTCACAAATTACACCTTTTCGCTTGCCGAAACTTTTACCTAGTGCGCCCTCCGCATCTCCTTCCCCCATCCCGGGGGCCATTACACCCCAGCGACTGTCATTCAGTGCGCCGCCGCCGTTGCTTCGGCCGCCCCCGCGAGCGCCGCCGTTTGCGATGCACCCGTGGAGCGTGCCGGCGTCGTAACCTCCGCCTCCGCCGCGAGCGCGGGGCGGGGCGCGAGGCGAGGATGGGCGGAACTGTGCGGTGCGGTGCGGGGTGCGGGGCGTGGTGCGGTGCGCGATGGGGTGAGCGGGAGGCTGAGCGAGGTGCTGGGCGTAGCGCGGGGCGGCACGGGGCGCGGCGCGAGGCGGGGATTGTGGGGGTTCCACTGCGGTGGCGGGGTTGGTACGGCGACGGGGTGAGCGGCGGTGGGGCGCGGAGCGGAGCGCCAGTCTTGAGGCGGGGTGCGGAGCGCGGGAATGGCTTCGGGGAGTGGCTCGGGGCGTGGGCGGGGCGCAGGGGTGGAGGCGGGGATCGGGGAGCGGCGGCGAGAATAGTGGTGGGCGAGGCGGGCGGCAGGGGCTGGGAGCGGGGCGGGGCGCACGAGGTGGGATGGGCGGAGTTGCGACGGAGACACAAGGTATGTAGGGGCGGTCAACGCGGGCGGGGTTCTGAATTTGACGCGAGGT